GATGCCGGCCCCGAGATTTGAACTAAGGTTTCTTGAGTACATTGAGTTAAGAGCGAGCGCCCAGACACTAAGTTATCACGGCTCATAAAAAGTAAACAAGTAAAAAAGCGAAAATTCTCTGAAACAATTTAATTGTAACACTTTATATTGTATCATTCTTAACACGTACAAAAACAGTTCTGCGTAAAGCAAAGAGTAACAAACGCTGGCCCTCGTAGTGGATCGAGCAAAATGAAATAATTTTCATTGAATTAAAGCGGACGAACAAAATTCATGATTGTATTAACCTTCGCGTTTAGAAACAATAGATGAGTCTGTGATTCACGTTGTATGAATTTTTTTAATGGTTTACTACTACAAAAAATACAACGACGAGAAACAAACAAAACACTTGTTTCGCCGCTTAATTGAGCTAATAAATCGAAATGGTTTGGATAAATTTGTTTGTATAACTGAGTGTTGTTTTACGAGAATGAATTTTAGTAACCTTCAATTAGGCGTCTGAAATACGAGTGAAATTCTTTATAGTTTGTATTTTTTTTTTTAATATTGTTCACATGACATTTTTGCTAATATCTTTCGAGGAATAAACTCGCAAAGCAGACGTGAAATATTACACAGAAATTATTCGACAAATGCGACATCTTCAGCCTTCGGCTTCTTAAGGTCTTAACGGTGGTAGGGCCACGTAGCAGCCTTGGCTGTTGCACGAATGGGCAGGCTCGTCCGGGTAAGTACCACGACCTCACAGAAGACCGGCGTAAAGTGAAAGTATAATACTTTCGCGTTTCGTCTGGTGAGTGAGGTGACCGGAGCCCAATTTTCAAAAGGTTGTCAACGCATCTGTAAACCCTCGGGTGTAGCAGATGTCTATGGACGGCGGTATTCACTTAACATCAGGTGAACCGTCTGCTCGTTTGACAACTTTTCACATAAAAAAAAAAAAAATTTGATTCACACAGTGTTGTAATAGTTACATGTTAAAAAAAATATATGAAATTTGTCAAGCCAAATGCGTCGCTAAGCAACTGTAACAAATCCATTGAAATTTGTTTGAATTTAGACAAATCGAATTGTTAATTGATATTTATAACAGTTAGAGTTAGTTAATATAGTCAATATTTCCATTATCATTTAGTAGCAAAATAACAAAACAATAAACGATCTTCAAATGGCTGGACGGACGAAACGCGACGCGCACATTGTGGAATAATTGGAAACAATTGCTCGATTGGACGGACCGACTGTAAAAATGTGCAGTCGACGCAACAAACGTTGGGCAGCAGTAAACTTCAAACAATCGCGGGTTAAAAATAGACGGGCGCGGCGGGCCGGTGCGTTGACCGTAGGTTGACATACAACGGGCTCAAGGCCTGCGCAGATTAGATACCGGCGCTGCATAACAAACATATTGTAACGAGCGGCAATTGCAAAATAATCGACGTGAGCGCTCGACGGTAGCGGTGAAACGAATGTTGCATTGTACTTACGGAGTCAAACGGACTTTGGAAAGGATAATTTCCGAAGACAGCTGTGAAGTGGAGCGAAGACACGAATTAAGGGTCCGTTCCCACCCTTAAACTATAGGTACGTACAAAATTTGAATTTGAAGCTTGTTGCCGTGAGATAACGATGTGATATTATGGTAATATTGTGAAAAACAATGGTTTTCCCGGCGTTTCCGAGTGTTCAAAGTCCATGGTCACAGGAGCAAAATAAGACCAAAATAAATACTAGAAACTAGTTTTTATTAACAATGTGTTGTTTTCGCGTTAATAACCATTATAATATAACAATAATCAGAAACAACTATGAAAACTAGTAAGCAGACATCTATGATAAAACTGCTTTTACTTGACTCTATTTGACTTTAACACTTACGGATTTAATGTTTGACCGAAACATCATTCATCGTTTATTTCTAAAAACGATCTAACATTATAGTCGGGAAGTAAAATTATCGAATTTATTCTATTTATTTTATTTTTATACTATCTATTATATTTTTATTTTATATAAGGATATTTTAGCCGATATATTAGGATCCGATATATCGATATAGATATACAATATCGAAATCCTATCAAAAAAGATATTTTTTCAAGTTCGAATCCGACAGAGAGTCCGTAGATGTCAAATATTGAATACTTGACTAAGTTTTTTTTTGATAACGGGACCTAAAGAGAAAATATCAATATATCATAATTTCTCTTCGATATATCGAGGCCGATATTAATATTTTTATAAATATCGATATATTTCTTCGCTTTCGACATCCCTACATAATAGGTATCCGCTATGAAACGAAGTCTTCGCGGCGATGAAAATCCATGCGGAAACTTCAAAAAACTCAAATGTCACATGTCGTCATGTGGGAGCATGTTAAATCCCTGACGGACGTGACTGCATGTTTTATTTGTGTGAGCGTTGCCGAAAGCGGTCTGGCACGGCCAACGGCGTCGCTGCTCCCAGCAAAGGCGACTAGCGATTAAATTACACAGAATTTACCTTTACTTTATTTTAGATTCGAAACGTATTTTGTTACGGTGTCCACAAAGACTGCATTTTGCTGGAATTATTATGACTTCCTATCATATATAGGAATGAATTTACTCGAGTTTCAAGTTTTCGTCGATTCCATAAAAATATATTAAAAGGAATTTTTAATGTCTGTAAGTCTGCAAATATAATCTGGTGTAACCTATCAAGTTTGAAACCAGATAAAAGTTAAATGCAGATATATTAGAATAGAGGGGATGTCGAATTGAAGCCGCTGCAATTTATAACGTATATTAAGTCTAGCCTTATGTAGAGTATTCTGTATGGAAAAAGGTGATAGAAAATGCGGTACCTGATGTTGCGTGGTTACCACCCATGGCTATTTGGCGTCCATGAGTGCTTGTAACAACCCTTTGGGAATTTGGAAAAAGAAAAAATAAAGAAAAAGAAAAAAAAATTGGAGAAAAGCCGTTTTACAACGGCTTTGGGAATATCACACCGTGACGTGCATCCTAAACACCCCACTGGTTGCTGTAGCCAACCAGTTGGGTGATCCTCACAAGGAAAATGGAAAATGTATGAAAAAATATTTCTAAAGAACATAGACCTGGACACAGGAGACCTTTCATGGACGAAGAGACCATTTAGACAACAAAAGAAGATGTCAACTGAATTATATATTATATTATAGCAGATATCCATAAGCGGCGGTATTCACTTAACATCAGGTGAACCGCCTGCTCGCTTGGCAGCTTTTAACATTAAAAAAAGCGCGGGAGTTTTTTCCCGGAATCTTCCCTAAAACTCGCATCTCCTTGTCGCAGCACCACGCTCGCAGCCATGCGGGCGCCTCCCGTGACAGAAGTTTATCGCGGGGTGTCGTCGGTGTTTTTTACGGCGACACCGACAAAAGTAAACTTTCAACCCCGCCACCCGTTACGACATTAAAAATGTTTTATCGCATCTGGACCAGACAGCTTCGAATGCGATACGGAAGATTTGTATAGGGTTTTATACGACTTTAGAATATTAACAGTAAAGAGCCGTGACAAAAAAAAAAGTATACAGCCTATACATTTGTCCCACTTAAAAGAAACTAGTTTACGGATTTTATCGCTTTTCGGGAATTCAAAATCAAAATTTCCGTAAACTAGTTTCATTTAATATGTATAATATTCGCGTAAATTAAAGTATTCAATATATGTCCCACAACTGAGTAAAAGCCTCTAGTCATAATCCGCTACCCGAGCACATATCTTTTATATGGCGTAAGATTCGTTAATTTGCTAAATTCATCAATGAAGGTTGCAATCGACGAATAAATTAAATTTAATAGTAGCTAACATCTAATTGGTGTCTCTGATTGCGAGCCATGGTAGCGCAGTATTTGTTTTTGCTGGTATTCCGTATTAAGTTAAATCGAATATAAGTCAATGTAGCCGCGAATAACATTTCTGGTTATTTTAAACCCCCTAACTACCTGTCACGTTTGGTACTAAATAAGCCGGGTGTAACGTGAACAGCACTAGTTCTACTAAGAAAAAAGTCCAAAGGGTTGTTATGGTAAGAATTGAATAAGTATGACTAGTATGTTACTCAGGTAATGTTGATTTTGAATAACCTAAAACATTTTTGAATAGGTCCTATATTAGAGGTTACATAGAAATACTTTAACAGTCAATAACATTAGTGTGGTATACGTAGATAAAATGAAACGACATGACAAGACAAACTTAGAAAGGCAACAGCCGCCAACGGAGCGGAGGTATTGTTAAAAAAATTGACGAAAGAAACTGACGATTGTATATCTACTTATGTTAGCAACACTAAAGGAAGTTATTCCTTGAGGTTGTTGGTAACACTAAAAGAAGTGTCATTCTGTAAGGTATAAATGAAGCTGCAAGAAGCATTTCATGGTCTTCATCGCCTTCCTCGTGATCATTGTCTTTCTCTGGCTGTCAACAAGAAGTATAGGCGATAGTGCTGCCCAATCAGTATCAGAAATTAAATTGTTAGAGTGGTGTTTCATTAGTGATATTAAAGTGATAAAATAAGTAATTACAGCAGTGTTATTGTTGTGCAAAGTGAAACTACGGTAATTTGGTAAAAGTGTTTATATTTCACCTTCTTAGCTCGATAAAACAAAGTATAGCTAACACTTAGATTATTTATTAATCACATTGAGTAAACAAGTTCATTATTTGTGTTAATAAAAATGTCATTTTTTTAAACAACGATCTATTGTGTTAACTAATGTTTCGAATACAAAAATAATTTAAAACGATCTAATAAAAAGTTATTGTCGAAACGAAAACGTTATAAAATTTATGATTAAAAACGTTGGCGGACAGGAAAACTGATGAGATGTTTCGCGTCCTGGCGAAAATTTGTTTCTAGTTTCTGAACGTCCGTTTGCCCCGCGGCGGCCATTTCATTTTTTAATTCCGCTCCGGCTTTTGAATACAAAATAATAATATAATGTGAACATCATCATTACTTACCTTGATCTGATATGAGTTGACTTTATACTTCGGCAAAAGGTTGAAGGTGGAAAAATCCAGTCGCCTAGAGAATATGCCATTCGCGCCGGCGCCAGCTCTGCGAAAAAAAAGGCAAATTATTCAATCGAAATCGCTATCGGATTCAGATATGGGGTTTTTATCTCCTACTTTTATCCGAAGGTCACGGGCTGTACAGGTGCACTAAAGAAACAGATACACATGTACCACTTAAAATAAATAAAGCCACAGTAAATACGAGGTTTAACAATGGAATAATATTCATTCAAATAAAAGAAACTAACAACAGATCAGAATTCAGAATTAGCATTGAATTCATTTTAAAGTGGATTCTTTTGAATAAATTCTGAAGACCTTACTTAGAAAATGAATCCCTTTAGTGTTAGTTAAACGATCACTTTAACAGTTAGAATTCAGACCAAAAACATATAATTAACAGAATATTGAATGCGAAAATAAACCTGATCGCAAGATCAAATAAGGAATGTGACGCAACCGTTGTGGAAGCATAAAAAACGTCTCATGCGACATTCAATACAAGAAACCGGTCCTTAAAATTCTAAAATATTACGACATTCTTGTAAATCAACACGCGCTGCATTCAAAGTGAGCTCAAAGATAGGAGCTTTATAAACCCATCGCATTATACGAATCAAATTCAATTTGCAATAGTACAATTATTCGTGTACACCTCCAACGACATTTCGCGTCGGCGATCGAGACATTTTATAATTAAATTAACACGGATTTATGACAAGGACGCGGAATTGCGGGTTTAATGTCTTTCGAGGAGGAAAATATCGGGAACAAAGACAACTTTATTATTAACACTTCAGCCCGCAATCTAACTCCGAGTTTATGATGACACCTCCACTTTTTCTTCACGAATTTAAATTTCATTTTATAATTAAAGAACTGCATTCGAAACTACAAACATTACAGTACGTACATTAAAATGGAAACCGACCATAGCGAAGTAACTAAAATAATAATATTGGCCATCGCCAATCTTTGTGATAAATTTTCTTTCAATGTCTTTTGTCATTAAGTAAAGTCTAAATTAAGGAATACATTAGCATAATCTTCAAGTTTCATAGATATATATCAGATTATAATAGCGTTAATAAAAAAATAAGGTTAATAATGAAAAACGCCATGTAAACTAATCTACGATTTAAAAGAAATACTGTTGTAATGCGTCGCAGCTTTAGCGCCGCGCAAAAACGAAACAAGCCCCCAAGGTTGCGCAAAAAAACTTGTTTTTTTCATTGCCAAGGCCAACCGAATTAGATACCGGCTCTCGTATCTCACCGGGGCGTGTCAACATAGCATTGTGTTTACATTCACGTGGCGATAAAAAAACGCGATAATATTGTTGACGCGAATATTTTACGATCGCCTATGCAAATTTTATTATTAATGTGCCATAGATTCTTTATTGAACCGATCGTTACGTATAAAAAGTTATGCAAAATCCTATAATGTGGTCGTGTTCTTTTGACCGCTGCTGTTCAATTTTCAATTCGGTTTCGATAATGAGAAACAAACTGAATTCGATTAGGTCGAAATTGGAATCGGGCAAATTAAGATGATACAAAAACACGCCGATTGCTTATACTTCACTTGTTTTTAAAGGCTCTCACCGTTTTCGAATGTGCGCAGAACGTGTTTTGTAAAAAAAAAGTTTAACAAATAAAAGATATAAGGGTTAGTCCCGAGAACAAGGCAGCGGAAGTGCGCTCGGCTTAATGTGGGTAACCTTGGGGCACACAATGCCTCAGTTATTTTAATGTAATCAACAAAAAAGTCCACAGCAGACAGCGTTCGTTACGTAAGTAACGAACTAGAATGCTTTGAACATTGACATTTAAATTTGATTCGTCACAGCTTATCGTAAATTGAAACAATATTTTTTTTTATTTAACACCTCGCGCTCATAAAAATATATTTAAAAACGAAGTAACCACTGCAAACGAACAGTGTACATACGTCGCTTTTTAAACGCAACGCAATAAAGAGGCGCTGTTTACGAGACGAAACTTTCCGAATCGATAGATAGCGAATGCAATATGGCGAACTTGGCCTTGGCTGAGGTATAAAAATAGCGATGTTGTGCGACTCGGTTTCATATCAAAACTGCGCACGGGGCGTGTGTGCGTGATGCGTCGAAATCATTCCACCGCGTCGACGCGGGCGCACACATGTTTACTCAGGACGAGACAGAAGATGGGTCGAAAACAATATCGACCGTTTTTTTGCCGCGTTCGCTTCGAATACTACGTAGAAGACAACAATTTATGCAATATCGGGGCAATATTTTGTATTCTATAAACCTGGGCAAGTGAAATAAAGAATGCCGTAGAATATATCCAAAGGATCAGATTGGCGAACTTTCGCAAAGCAATATTTTGTAACTCATTTGTAGTTAATAAATTGTAGTCAATAAAGACATCCCTCATTTTTGTTTTTAAATACTAGACAAATTCATTTTTCTGCCGTCTATTTGTACAATAGGTAAGCTATTGCAGCTTGCTAGACTTTTAAAAGACATTTAATTAACAATTACATGGTAAATATTTTTAAGTCGTCCTTAGGCTTTTTCTTTTCATTAAATTGATAATGACAATGAAATTTAGGTAATTAAAGATCATGAATTTCATCACGCATTTCTTGCCTGACTACTGTTAATCTTATTTATACAGTCTTAAAAACAATATTTACAGCAACAATATAATGCAAACGCAGAGAATATTTACACGTACAGCTTGCGATATACAAGACATTGCGATAAACGAGTGAGTAGATAAATTCAATTCACAGACGCCACTTAGATACGTACCATTAATTTCTAACCTAAGACGTCGTTAATTACAGTTCTTCGAAGCGCAGCCCGCCACTCGCTCGCAGCAAATCTGTCATTTGAATCAATTTACGGCGCGTTTAATACATCGCCCGCTTTATTACGGGCGTGCGTTCAGAAGCGAGTTAAGTTTAGTACGGAGATAAGCCGAACGTCTATTGTGATTTGAAAGTAGACACGTTAGTGGGAGTTGCACGGGAACCGGTTACCCACTTTCTCATTGAGAGCATTCGACCCACGTCGGAGGGTGCAGTGAGCTAACGATGCTAGAACTTATTGTAACAGCTGACAATAAATATAATATAAGTGACGAATCCTACTGACAACTTATTTATTTATCAGACAAATTACAAAGGATAGATGAAGGATGAAATAATTTATAAAACTGCCTAGTGCTCCATGAAGGGATCACCGGAAAGGTTATTTTTTATTAAAGATAGAATAATTATTAATAAAGTACGGCAGCCTTAATTCGTATTGTACTAATCGTATTCCGATATTGGACGTAGACATACGAATTAACGTGTTTTGTGACACAAAGGAGACACATGCATAAAACAAAATGGGCATAACAGTCGTCAAGGTGCCTTTGTGGCGCCGTTTGAATACACACGAAAATAACGTGCCTCGATTTTTCCTATGTACCGCGCCTACATCATTAGTACATGCGTACATATGGAGGGATGTCCGCATATCACCGTGTCAAAATATTATCACTGCTTGAATTATCTTGCTTGGCCCGTCGTCGCCATACTTGTGGACGTGCAAACCAAAAAATACTCTAAAAATGGTTTTCGTGACATGGGAAGGAAGAAATGAGTATTTATTATTATATTTTATTATCATCATTTGTAATTTCACAAAATGAACATTATTAAATTAGAAATAAACGTATCTATGATAATAAGATAAGATATTATTACATTAAAATATAAATGTGGCACACAAAAAGATCCCTATCTTATATTCATATCTAAAAAAAGCTGGTTGACTTACGGTGTTTCACGACATAAATTTGCAAGCAAGGTCACTCGGCAGTGCGGTACCATAAAAACAATCATTTGGCGTCGTATCGTACATTATATAGTAGTTATGTCGTAGATAGTTACGCCAAGGATTAATTGTTCAATTATAAAATAAAATATGTTATGAAACTTTAGAAATTGTATTCGCTCAATTATACGTATAATCTATTTAATGAAGGCCATTTAAATTCTTCGTGAAATGAGAACAAAGATATCGAAATAAAAAAAATGTTCCTGGAAGAAAATAATATAATATGTTTGTTTATAATAAATACATAATTATACAAGAACATAATTTTATACTATTACAAAACCTACTGCTTCCCAATGGGGATAAATTTAAATATAAGAACAACTCGTAATAAGCTCATTTTTTGTATTTTTCTTTTTTTTATGTGAAAAGTTGCCAAACGAGCAGACGACCTGATGTTAAGTGAGTACCGAAGCCTATGGTCATCTGCTACACCCGAGGGTTGCAGATGCGTCGACAACCTTTTGAAAATTGGGCTCCGGCCACCTCACTCACCAGACGAAACGCGAAAGTATTACTCTTCCACTTTACACCGGTCTTCTGTGAGGTACATACGTGGTACATACCCGGACAAGCCTGCCCATTTGTGCAACAGCCGAGGCTGCTGCGTGGCCCTGCCACCGTAAATTAAACACAAAACTTTTTTTTCGTCTACGACAAACACGACGACGATGACAGTGTTCTAAAAATAGCTAACTGGCGTGGCGGCGCGGAGAATTTGAAATTAAAAAAAAAAGCGTCACGATGCAACCTGCCCAGACGATAAACGCGAGCGTGTAGCGGCCGCGCGGAGCGATGTAAACAATGAAGACCTTGGCCTCGGCCGCACAATAGGCCCCACTAAATTCGATTACCTAACACTCGGCGCGGTTGTTTTGCTCACGATTTTTACCATATCAGCGCACTGCGCCACCGGCTCCCCTCGTGAACCGGTTGCTTTTTTAAAATTCGTGAAATACGCCACGCCGGCCTTCGAGATCAAAACTTTAGATAGGGCGTTTTTAAGCACGTTCGTTTTCCTTTGTTAAGCTTAACGCCTGGGGGACGAAGTGTTTACAAGGAACACCTGTGACAACTGCGTAGGTTCGTTTTGTTTCAACAGAATAACACCTCGATTTAGAGGATATCGTGGTTCGCTTGCAGTTGAGTAATTTTGATTGTTT